TGTTTTTTGGGGATTGGTACCTGTGGATGGTACCTGGGGAGAGGATGTTTTTTTGGGATTGGTACCTGTGGATGGTACCTGTAGAGAGGATGTTTTCTTTGGTTTGTACCTGGGGAGAGGATGTTTTTTTGGGATTGGTACCTGTGGATGGTACCTGGGGAGATGATGTTTTTTTGGGATTGGTACCTGTAGAGAGGATGTTTTCTTTGGTTGGTACCTGTGGATGGTACCTGTGGAGAGGATATTTTCTGTGAATGGTACCTGTGGAGCAGCTGTTTCCAGGGGTTGGTACCTGTGGAGAAGATGTTTTCTGGGATTTGTACCTGCGGATGGTACCCGTGGAGAGGATGTTTCCTGGGATCAGTACCTGTGGAGAGGATGTTTTCTGGAGTTTGTACATGGGGATGGTACCCGAGAAAAGGATGTTTCCTGGTATTGGTACCTGTGAAGAGAATGTTTTATGGGATTGGTACCTGTGCAGAGTATGTTACTTGGGACTGGTGCTTGTGGAGAGGATGTTTCCTGGGACTGGTGCTTGTGAAGAGGATGTTTCCTGGGACTGGTGCTTGTGAAGAGGATGTTTCCTGGCACTGGTACCTGGGGAGAGGATGTTTCCTGGCAATGGTACCTGTGGAGAGGATATATTTCCTTGGATTGGTACCTGCAGACAGGATGTGTCCTAGGATTGCTACCTATGGACAGGCTATACTACCTGGGATTGGTACCTGCGGACATGCTCTGTCCTAGTGATTTGCTGCTACACTTGTGAACTGTCAATGGGAGGAGGTCACATGCTCTTCTGTGCCCCGAAGCACCAAGTTTCCTTTCTGACAGCAAGAGTGGTGCTCAGGGGCGTAACTACAGACCATGGGGCCCCATAGCAAAACTGTGATGGGGGCGACCCCTGACGACTTCTCCCTGAGCTGTGACTGATGACACCAGGATCCAAGAGACTCTTGTGCACCTGACATAAGCTTTCCTACACTGTAGACTTTATGGAGGATTAGGATTGTCATCAATTGCAATCACTGCAACCCTTAATGACACAGTACTGTGTTTTTTTCCCATGGTCTATGTTTAATTTGCCTTAACAACCTAATGGGACCCCCTTCCACCCCCAGGCCCCATAGCAGCTGTCTGGGCTGATATGGTTATAGTTACGTCACTGGTGGTGCTGGATCACTGGCTATGTGAAACTTAGTGATATCTCTTAGTGATATTTCGAACCCCAAACAATAGGAGACAGACATGAATACAATTCTAACAGGAGGTTCCACTCTTCCCCCTACTCTCCTAAAGAAAGTGTTTATTTCAGCCTGTTAGTGATGTGTTAGTGAACCGCGTTCGTCAAAGTCTGTGCAAAGCAGTCACTGACAAACTCCCCTCTCTGTCAATCAGTTGTGGCTGGGGCATTCTCTGCCCTGCGGTTACACATACCGTGTTTCCCTGAAAGTAAGACCTAGCACTATCTTCAGGGATTTAAATATAAGACACTGTCTTATTTTCGGGGAAACACGGTAACAAAGTGGTAGGGAATGCCTCAGCTCCAAATGATTGGCCATGACAATTGGGTGCCTGACCGGCCTTGGACGCAGTCCTTCTGTGTCCAGAGCGCAGCTAATCATCCAGTTTCTATGCAACCATAGCACTCGTGCTGCTGCGTCCAGATGTGAAGTTTAGCCAGATCTTACACCTGCAGCCTATTCGTCCATCTGAATGGGCCCTTACAAAGCCCTGGATAGTGGTAAAACAATGGCAGGGATTAAAACCCTTCCCCACTCTCTCTCTATCCGAAGCTAGAAAACAAGTGTCGGCTGGACATAAACTTGAAGAAAAACACTGTTTTGACTTGTTAGCCTCAATCAAGAGAATAAGTTGGCAGAAACAACCCTAGCGTGTATCTTCTTAACCCCTTAATTACCCCTTTTAGTTTTGTTTTTTGCACCCATGTTATAATCCACATTTTAGGCCTGAAAATGTCTTCAAACCCCCAAACAATATATATTTTCTGAAAGCCAAGATCCTGTAAAATGAAATGGCGGCAGTTGCAAATGTTTATGTTGCACGACATTAGCACAACTTATTATCAAATCCAAAAATTTTGTGACAAATGCACTTAAGTTGAATTTAGTGCCCCAAAACACAATAAAATACCATTTAAAAAAAAATTAAATATAAAGATGAAGTTACGAGTAAATAGATACCCAACATGCCCAGGTTACAAATTGTGTGTGTCCGTGAAATGGCGACAAAATTCAGTACCCCAAAAAGTCATGGTCATCAGTCATCAGTTTTGAGTAACGCATAAATATTGGCCCTACAACTATTGCTCTCACTCTGGCGCGCACGACGATACCCAACATGTGTAGCGCGAGCATCGTTTTCATACGTAGGCGCACCCAACGCGTGTTTATGTTACGACTCGCAGGGAAACTTTAAAGAAAAAAAATGTACATTTATTTTTACATTTATTTCATTTGATATTATTTTTAAAAACTGTTATTTTTTTTTTAAACTTTAATTGCTATCACATAGGGGGGCTTCCAAAAGACCCCTACTCTCACCTTTACTCTCTAAATAAGCTATTGAAGTGCAGACTTTAAATAATTAAAGGGAATTTCCACCTTTTATAAAGCGAAAAAACTATAAATGCACACTTCTTCAAAAAAGAAGAAATGTGCATTTGGTATTATTTTGCATAGGAGCCAGTAAAGCAGAACTGGAAATGTCAGGTGCAATGCTTTGGCTCCTGCAGACTCTTCCTTCCATGTCGGTGTCTAGATACAGGCATTCAGCAACATGGATGGGAGGACTAATGATTGGAATACAAGTATGGTGACCTCACTGCACTTGTATTCCATTGAGAACTACAAGGCCCTCTGCTGCAGTGGCTGATGAGACTTGTAGTTTCTCCATTCACATATCCTGTTAAAGGACTTGCTCAAATAGCTCAAACATCTCAACTCTCCTGGATGTTCTGGGAGTCTCCCGGGAGAGTTGAGATGAGTAAGCAGTGTAAACCTTTCCTGCTGCTCGTCGGGCTCCACTGTCTGCTCGTCACAGACGAGTGGACGAGTGGATTTTTCGAGCCCTGGCTATCTGCCTTCATTTCAGGGGGGGCTCTCTTCCTTGTTGTTGCACCCCCACCTGAAATGAGAAGGGCACCTCCCTGAAATGACTTATTTCAGATTGGGATCCCTGCATAGCTATGCCAAATAAAAAAAAGAGCAGCAGCTGCCTCTGGGTAGAAGAACCTGCAAATCAGGTAAGTGGGGGTGGGGGGATTTCAGACATCCCAACCTGCAAAACCTTATTTCAGGGAGGTTCCCGTCTCATTTCAGGGAGGTGCCCTTTCTGTTTTTTTTTTTCGTTCTGAGGCTACTCTAGAGATCACATGACCTTCCTCCAGGAGGCAAGCCTCACTCTGAAACTTTACCCACTGATATCTTACCGGAAAGGTTTACTTAGAGTAAACCTTTCAGGGAGAAAATGCCTCTCTCGCGGACGTCAGGGAGCCACTGTCTAATAGAGGGAGACTCCCTGAACATCAGGGAGACTTGAGATCCCTGGGATTTCAATGTGGCTGTGTGTCATGTTATACCCAAACATAACGTTAAACATGGTCAGAAAGGTAAATGTATGTGTATATGTGGGGAATAGATGGTGGTCTGTCTGCGGTAAGATGGTGGGTGAGAGTTAATGTCCCCTGGAAGACTGACAGGCGCGGATACTATGGCCTGTGATCCTGGTCTCTGTCATAGCCTGGGAGTGTCAGGTGACCGGAATGAAGGGCAGTGAGCAGGATGATAGCTGCTGTGCCACTTCCTGTCGTCTTATGAGTGCCTCTCTGAAGTGGTTACCTCTGAGGAGTATTTGACTAATAATTCTCCATCCCTCTTTACACTGACAGCCTGCTTTATCTGAGGCCTGACTAAAAAATGTGTCTGTTTTCATCCACTGTCAGCCTGAGCAAGAAGGAAGACATATTCCTTGCCAGTCTGGATTGGGAATCATGCTGGAAATGTGGAACTGGAGGTGTAAAGGTCACCGAGTGCCGGAGTACAGTAGATTTATTAGACTTTGTGAGGGGGTTGACGGAAGATAAGGGTCAGCCATGACAGAGGTGTGGGGATTACAGGAGTGAAGAAAAGCAGGCCCTAACAGAGCCTTGGTAGGAGTAGAGGAGCAATATGATTTGAGATAAGATAAGATACCATGACTGCAATGGGTGAGAGGAAAGTTTAGGCGTCCTCTGCTCTCTGACAGAAATAAATGTAGACCTGTTCTCAGTATGTATTTCACCTATCCAATTCACATTTCTCATATTTTACTTTTATATATATATATATATGCATGATCCATGGCAGGGCCACAGCTACTACAGTGTATTGCAGTGTCTTCCAGGTCCTGATACAGCTGCTGAATTACTATGGGCAACTGCTCCATATTTTGATAAATTCCCCTCAGAGCCCTCCAGCTGTGGTGAAACTACAAATGCCATTAAGCTTCTGACTCTGGGAGTCATGCCTGTAGCTGTCAGAGTCTTGCAATGCCTCATGGGACTAGTAGTTCCACCACAGCTGGAGTGCTGAGGTTGCCTACCCCTGGATTAGAGCCTCGTGTCAGGTTTTTGACGCTTTCGGGGCAGAAAGTGGTGGGAGAACTCTCTCCTACAGGGACACAGACAAAAAAAACAAAACATTTATTTTGTTGGGATGTTAGATTTTAAAGTATTTGACTTATTTTTGATGTCTAACACATCATACGTGTTTGTATAAATCTGTATTTGCATTTTATTATTATATAGAGCTTCTGTTTTTTGTTTTCTAGATGTGTTTGATTGTAGATAAAAGCTGTCACTAATCCGCTTCTTCACAGAGAATAAAAATATTTCTTTCTGATATTTTCAGTGGGCATGTAGTCACACAAAGTTTTATATACTACTTTCTTTAATGTGTAGTTAATGTGCATTAATGTATATTTTTTATTTTACTTCATAGGGCCCGCCTGGTCCTGCAGGACTTCCTGGGCCACCTGGAAAAAGAGGTCCTCGGGTAAGTGTCCACAGTCTGCAAAACACGTCACATTTAGTGATATTGGAAGATATGCGAAAAGTAGTTGAACACACACATTCTCACAGGAACAGGAAGGGAGAGAAAATCTCCCAATGACACAGGGAGCAAAAGAATTAGATGTTCCTCATTCACATGCACTGGTGAGGAACTTGCTGACAGGAAGAGAGATCAGAGAGATGACTTCATCAGTCTGTTGCTGCTCCTTCATTGCTCAATCATAGTGCTGGGGTGGGAGAGTGACCAGGCTTTGCTGTGTGGCAGAGCTGTGTAAATCTCAGGACCGAGTAGATAGATCTGCAAACCCTTAGACAGGCTAGACAAAACCCATCTGTATATATCATGTGTAGATTTAGTTATCAGCTTTAACGTGACAGTCAAGGCAATTTTTTCATCTGTAGAAACCTCTACCCTTATAATCAGTTCCTTATATTTTGCATTATTTCATCACAAACGACTTTTTTAAGCCCAGCCTGGGCTTACAAGAGAAGGCTGCATACCACATCACAACATGAGGGCTGTTCTATCCAGCAGTGAGGAACTCCTACCAATGCTGGAGAGGAAGGAGGAAGCAGTAATGGGGAGCTTTGCGTTATCTCTAAACAAAATTTCAAACAATGCTTTTCTATTGACCGGATTGTATCAACACTTGTATTGCGAGGTTATGTGATCGTCAGTGATCCAAGCACTCAAATATTGTAAAACATTTGGACTAACAATCATGCAGCAGTCACATAGTAGGAGAAAACAATGGAGAGGTTTCCCAATGCAAATGCTTTGCAGCTTTTTCTTTTTTTTTTCTGCATTACATGATGAATGGTGAACATCTGTTTAGTTGCTGTCGGCAACTCCTCCTTATTTCCTGTTCTCCTCTCTTTGGACACCAGTTCCATAGTTTTTATTTTTATTCATTTAGCGTTAGAATGAGCATTTTATCGCTATAAATCAAGGCTGAATTGTATCCAGAGGGAGGTATTTAGCCGGAGATGTATGTTCTGTTACGGTCTGTTTTTTTCCCTCGCACAACCTCCCCTGGACAAGAACCACCCATGTGTCACTCTGTAGTGAAGATACAATATAACTCCAATAAATGGCAAATATTTTACACATCTGTGCAGGATTCCTGAAGCTTGTTACTGTACATTATATCCGCAGTGGCTTGTACCTCTCGTAATTCTGGGTAAATAGCAAATTCTGAGTTCAAACTTGATCTGTGCTCACAGTTTTGGAAAACGACCCTGGAAAAAGGAGGAATTTGGCTGTTGTTCTCCGGTTCACATCCAATGTTTATTTCCCCCAATTTTGCTGCAGACTTTCTGTAAAGGGCAAGCAGCAATCAAACCCCAAAGGGACTTGCCTGGGAGTGTTAATTTTTTTTTGTAGTTGGGAAAATATAGTGCATGCAGATGTACGTACACGGTAAAGGAGAAATGAATTGTGATTTTTGGTAAAAGAGTATTAGTACTAAACTCTAAAGACTGGGGGAAGGGAAGCATGAGGAGCCAATCAAGCTGTGCTGACAAGGATCAGGTCGACAGAGAGAGATCAGAGTTTTGATGCATTAGTGCATTGCTGCTCTTTAATTTTTAAGGCCCATTCACACTGGCATGATGTGTTAATCGCATGGTTCCATGTGATTAACGCACCATAGGGCACAACGCACCTACCATGCATTAAATGCATTAACAGTGCGGGAGTTGCGATGCATTGCCATTCATTTGAGTGCCACCCCCAAACGCATCTCCTTCCTACAATGCACTCGATCGTGCGGCACCGTTGTGTATGTGCTACGTTTTCAAAACCCCCAGCCCTTCTCCATTGCCCTTTAAATATACTAAGCCGAACCATCCCCCCACACATTTTACTTATTTCCTCTGACAATGGTGGCCTCCCACATTGTCTGCATCCTGGCAGGTTTAAATCTAGCAAAGGCTGCCCCCTCCTGCGCACTCCTGTGCAGAAGCCATGTCCCATTCAAATCTATGGAACATTTGTGTGTGGGCAGCCAGGTAGATATATTTTAATTTGGCAAAAATATTAAACATTTTTTGAAGCAGAACTAAACTGTATTCAAAAGATGGACCCTGGTGATGTATGATATAACTCCCGCTCACTTCCCGACATTCCCACTCCTGGTGTCTTACAGATGCATGCACCACAGGCAGCGAATTACAAAGTCTTTTCTACCAACTGTGTCCCAAGCATTTTTTTTCAACTTTAGTTCTAAAGGGCACGTTTCATATTAATTAATAACTCGTTAGCCCAACCTCCTGACTTTGGACCCCCTCGCTCAGGTGTTTTCTTATCTCTCCAGCAGCAGCCTTCTCTTGTGCTTACATCCATTTGCCCAAATCTTCCATGGCAATGGCTGCACCTGTGAAGTAACCCTCCTTAGGCCTAAATGGGACGCACTCCCACTCTAGCTCCTGGTGGTAACACCCCATTCAAATCTATGGGAGTTACTTGAATTACAAAAGAGAACATTTATAAATCACAGCCAAGTATCCTCAGACATGAAGTAATCATTACCTGATCAGCAATATAGATTAAACGTTAGAAAGCAGTTTCTTGGCAATTATCTGTGATCTCTTCAAACCTATATATTAAATGGACATTTTTTCAAGCACTTTATGTTTTTGGACGCCTCACGTAACAATCTCAGTGCCATTTCATGAAAAAAATAAACTTGTAAAAAAAAGAAACCCAAAACACTGTTTATGGGATCGCCATGGCTCTGTGTCACACACATGTGGAAAAAGTCAAACGTTACGATGTGTGCTGGACCATTCCTCCTCTTTGACATGTCATTGCCAAGCGGGTTTGACTAGGAAACAAAACAATTTTATTTTTTATGAGCCATTAGGTTGTTTGTGTCACAAAAGTGCAGTTGACAGGCTCACACGCAGAATGGCTCCCACTGATTGAATGGCTCCCAATGATGCTATAACACGGTGGGCACATACATCGTCATTTTAGGTGTCTGGTTTAGGAGATTAACCTAATTGCGTATGAGCAGCCACCCCGGCCTCCTAAACAGAAACAACATTTTGAATAGGTTAATATAAGTTTCTGTTTAGACTGGAATTTGAGTGAAAACTTTCAGCACTAAAATATAGGTCCATGGCTGATTTCTTTTGCGGGTGCGTGTTTCAGAACTCTATTCTTCATTTATTACTTGGTGGGTCGCTGACCTGAAGCAAGCATGTCTATATCAAGTGTCCCCAAATGCAAGAGGACAAAAAAGAAAGTGGAAATAACTAAAGAAAATATGTATTAATGATGTGCAAAGAGAGCTGGACATCAGAAGAAGGCGATTAAAGCAATATAGAGAGCGTAGTGGGCTAACATTGTTCAGAGGCCAGAGGAATATCACCTGTTCATTCAGGGCAAAGTAACAGTGCCTCCTAGTGGCCCCCCACAGAACATAAACTCACTCATCCTTACTCTCTTGCTGACCACTAGCTGTAGGAGTCCATCCTGGGTTTTGGAGCTTACCCGGTTGGGTGATGTCACTGCTTTGTCCAAATGATTGGGTCAGACCTGACAATTACCCATTTAAACCCGACCACTATCACATGGTGGTGGTCACATGCTCCCCCATACCTAGAACACGTGTTTCATGAAATGGAGCAAGGGCTATGATGTAGCAAGAGACTGCTAGGCAGTGCAGATCGTTGAGTATACCTTGCTAGGGGGATGGGGGGCTGTCACTCTGCTCTAAATGGGCAATTTGGCAGTGTCTCATGAATGGGGTACAGTGCCAAAGAGACTGATTGACTGCTTTCTTCTTTACCCCTCACTGGTTCTAATAGTGAAGAAATAAGCCTTGGATTCTGCATCTTCAAAAACAAATGAACATTGGCAGCTCCTATATTGCTATTCTGACAGCTGCCTATTGAGTAACCCACCAACCTTTTGTTATTTGCGGCTTTTTCAAATATGTGCTATAAATGATGGCCTGATGGTAAATGAGGGTTACTAGATAAGATCCAGCCATGGATTTCCTGTATATGGTAATTATATATTAAACGGAACTATTCTCATCTGGTTTTCTTATCTCTCTGTAACATTGGCAGATATTAACCTCATATTCAGTATATAGTTTAACCTTATCGGTGCTTACTTGAAAACTAGCTTGCAACTATGAAAATGTATATTTATTTATAGTTCTATTATTTATAGGGGGTCACCCAAAACTAATATATTTCATTTTTTTAATGCCTGCTAGAGAGATTAACTACCTGACTGTTTAATATATGTCTGGGTCTTCACTCCTGCTATAGCTATTAAAAGGGACTTCCACTCTCTCCATTAAAGCCCCATTCATAGCAGATCTGTTGCGATCCATTTTTCAACGAATGCCACAGCGCTGTGAGCTAGCCCCATTTTTCGGTGCCCTTGCGTTAGCATCCATTGAAAAACAGATTGAAAGGAAATCAGAAGGTACAATTGCAAGTCATGTGACCCTCCACTGACTTATGATTATCTTTTGATTTTGTTGTGAACGGGCCCTATTAGTTTTTATTTAAATTGGAGAATGCTGGAACACATAAAAGTGAGTGGGAACATCTAAAACTCCCAGGTAGACAGGGACAGAGTAAGGAAATATGGCACCAAGAACCTGCAGTTGGAGTATGTAGACCTATAGGAAGCAAGGTGCTGACTCAGCCCACCAGTCTCTCGCCATTACGAAAATATCACGTTTGGGTAGACTGTACCTTTAATTTGTCAACCACAGAAGCAATAACAAATTAGGATCTACTGAATGGAACTTGTAACCAGAGGGCTGATTTTTATTAAAATAAAAGTAACCAGCTGGACATGGATATGAAATGGAAATTATTATTATTATGGAAAGAATTATGATTGTTTGCTCTTGGTAGCAGTTACCAAGTAAAAACAAAGGTGTTGCACCTAGAAGGACATCTAAATATTTTTATTTTTGACTGTCACTAAAGAGAACAATTTCTGGACACGGATTGGTTACTCTGGAATGTCCATTGCACAGTCAGATCCATGCGGGAGAAAGAGATGTACGCTGTGTTCAGCACTCTATTTACACTTGGTTCATCACTTGAGCCTTTGCAGAAAGGTCTTTTCAGTCTTGAGATTCCTCAGTAATCCTTTAGGTTTCTAGTTTGTCTGTCCAGCTACAATAGTCGTACACAGCTTCATAGAAGAAGGCAAGTTTGTGCAGGTCATTTGACCTATAATCTTCCCAGGGCAATCGCCTTACACTGTGCCTTTGTGACTGGTGAGGTTTCATGGTAATCCACATGCTGGCATATTAGCAAGTTGGTATGTGGTAATATTTGACTAGATTGGGCAAAAAGGTTTTCAGGATAAACAATATACTTTTTATTTTCAGGGTCCCCTTGGCCCCCATGGAAATCCCGGCCCACCTGGATATTCTGGATCAAAGGTTAGTAGTACACAAGTCAAATGATGTCTCTTAATTAGCAGTACCGAATAACATGTATCTAACCAGTGAGGTTAAAGTGTATGTCAAGCCATAAACTTTTTTTCTCAAATATGGATGGAGGAGTGGAAGAGGGGAATTAGAACTTCTGTCTGGTTTTTACTGCTATCCGGAAATTTGTTAGGAATATTTTCTCATTTGCTGTCCTGCTGACTACGTTTTGCCAGACAGGAAGTGAAAATCTGCAATAGAGAAACAGACAGAAATAACAGGTGTTCTAGTTTTTATTTCTGTCCATGTTGCTGCTGCAGATCTTCCCCCACTTCCAGTCTGGTAAAATGTCAGCAGGACCGGAAGCAAGGGAAAATCTTTCCAACGAAGCACTGAATGGCTGAAAAAACGTTCCCCACTCTGTCCAAAACTAAGAAACAAAGCTAAGGCTTGACTTACACCTTACTACTGTTCACATGATGTTGCAGAGTCAGAGTAAAAATACTTCTTTATTGTTTCGCATTGTTGTGTTTTATATAGGCAGCTGATATTGTATATGTAAACATAGCGTTTGCGATAGTCAAATCAACTGTGGGAGCAATAATTAGAAAATGGAAGACATACAAGACCACTGATAATCTCCCTCGATCTGGGGCTCTCACCCCGTGATAATCTCCCTCGATCTGACATCTAGTATTTTCAGAAGTGGGTTGGCAATGGAAGCACCCACATAACTGTCTGTACAGGTTTCCTTAACCCCTTCGTGACTGACGACGTACAGTGTACGTCGCCAGCATCGGGGCTGTTTAAACAGACTCCCGGCGACTTTTGCCGCCGGGAGTCTGTTTAAACTTTTAGAGCCGACTGTTTCTAAATTGATGACCTGTGGGGGCTTTTAAAGTGTCTTTTATTGACTTTTTGGGGTACTGCAGTTTTTCGCCGTTTCACGGTCGCACGCAATCTGTAAACTGAGCATGTTGGGTATCGTTTTACTCGTTGTAACCTCATCTTTTATATTTCATTAAAAAAATGGGTAATTTGTTGTGTTTTGGGGCATTTAATTAAATTTGTCACAAAATTTTGGGGTTTAATAAGGAGTTGCGCTAATATTGCGCAACATAAAAATTTTCAACTACCACCATTTTATTCTATAAGGTCTTGGCATTCAGAAAATATATAATGTTGGGGGGTTTTACGTCATTTTCAGGCCTAAAATGTGGAATATAACATGGGTGCAAAAAATGAAAAAAGGGCCTCAGTCACGAAGGGGTTAAAAGAGAAACTGCGTTTCTGTTGATTTAAAAAAATCCCCTCCAGTTGAACTCTATACATTCCAATGGCTTTAGTAAATGTTTTTGCAGTTCCTTACCTTTTCTGTTCTGGAGGAATTGGTGTAGACCTTGCCATCACTTTTTAAAAGTGACTGCTAAGTGGGAGGGCCTGATTTCGCTATAGCCGCCTGATCAGTCTCCGTGTTAAAAGAAAAACTGAAGCTCTGCATCCTTTTACCCAGTGTTTGGAAGTCTTTCACCAAAGATTACATTCCTATTGCAATGCCTGTAGTTCGATTTCTAGATCTGTGCTGACTTCTGGGAAAAGCAGTGATCTAACATACAGGCAAGGGGGTGGGAATTCAGTGGTGTGCACTTTATATTAAGTACTATTGCCATGGTTGCACAAATGAGAAAGTAGAAAATCTGGAAATATTACAAATGATAGCTGGCGGCTGATTGAAATTCAAGGAATTTTTCAGTGACATCACATGTCAGATAACAAAGGTCTCTAACAAAGTTTTATGTATTATAAATCACTCCCAAATTAAATACATTTATTATGGTAATAAAATTGATACATGCCTGGATTGTGTGCCATTACAGAGGTGGACGGGGTGCTTGGCTCCACAATGCAGCGACAGTAAATACAACTATCCATTCAAACACCCCATTTTGTTTAGCACCATCAAGTGGACGCTGCCTTATAAATGTCAATAGGCGCACTGATTAAGAATCTGCCTGGCAGCGTGACATCTCTGTGTTAGTGTGTGCCAGATTTCGGCTACACTTTGTAACATTTTCCCCTGCAGTGTGTCCCTGGGGTTTTCCCAATCATCCCGGACTTGATATCGTACTTTGCCTGCGGCCAAGTTGTGGTTGTAAATTATCGGTGCAGACACAACTCGTCTATTTCAGGATGGGATCAGTATGATAAAATAAGCCTGCAGGCCAGATTATTTTGCTTTGTCTATCAACCACCTTATGCAATAATGCACAGTGCCTACCTGTCTTAAAGGGGCAACAGGAAACTCCTGAGCAGGGTATTCTATGTATTGTGGCTCATGTGTAAACATTACGTTTCAGACTGTTATTTCAAAAGTATAGTGAATAGCGTTATATGCAATACTGCATAGCAATTACCCAGAGGAATCTGTGTGGCACTAGTAAGTGTCTAGTTACAGCCACAACTTGAGCCTGCTTCTATCACTAAACTCTTAGATGTGTCTTCTCAATACTTGTACCTTCAGCCTTATCCCACAAGAACAATACCAGATGGGAACATTTAGCATCATCGATGAATGATTTTTGCCCCCACATATACTCGTGCTCCATTCAGACAACAATTATTTGGACCCTGGGTGCTTGAATGGCCATGGGTCATGGAGTACATCTTCAGCCCTGTCTAAGCTGTGACCAGATCTACCTGAAGCTTACACAGGGCTTATGTTTGCTCCCATAACAGAGTAGTTAATGGGATAGGGTTATAAGTAGAAGAGGGAGCAAAAGCATCTGTTTGCAGTCAAGGGACGGGTTCTCTTTAAAGTAAACCTTAATTATGAGGTATTTTTTCATATTGGTTGCGGACATACTTAGTAATATGTAAATCTGGAAGAGACCTCAGCACTTTCTCTGACAATGCCTTCATCCTTCTCCCTCTCCAGAAGGCCAGTGCCATCTCTGTTCAGACATCTTCTAAAATCAGCATTTCCTGGACTAAGTTGCTGCCCTAGAGATGACACAAGCATGGGTACTCTGTAGCCTGGGCAGAAGGCTTTACCTTCTTGGATTTGTGCAGTCCCCCTGCTGCTGCCAAAAACCATTTGAATTGCCAAAAATGTACAATGCAGTTTTTGTCTTTAAAGAAAATGGCAAAATAAATTAGGCAGAAAGGTTATTTAACATTTAGTGGGCATCTCTAAGGGTTTTTCCTCATACATATACTTTTCAACACACATGAATGAGAAGCAGAGGTAGCCCACAGAAGGAGTGTTTCCACTTCTTGCCTGATCTTCTTCAAAGTGATGTACCAGATTGCATGCAGCCTGCTAATTCTGAGATTGTCTCCCCGCAATGGCATCAATATATGCTGTAAGCTGTGTAGAAAAGCCAATTCAAACCACTGTCTGTTTCTGTGAGGTTTTTCTGTATAAGCTCAATTCTAGCAATATACCAGCACCCAGTAAGACATCAAATGTCAAGTTGTGAAATCTGCTTGCTGCAGCTACTTCAAGAGAAACAATCACACACACAAACATTCTGACGAATTACGAAGAGCGGCGAAAGGTTAATGACACACAAGCAGCATGACCGGAGTCTTGGAAGTTCTGGGCAGGTGCCAGCCAGTGATACTGTGATATCTGCAAGCAGTACAGAGTTTACCAAGGCAAGCTTGGCAGACCCCGCTGACATTCATTCACAGATACTGCGTATATATGTTGAATCATCTCCCGGCCGCTTGCACACATCCAAAAAAGCTAATTAATAAGCTGCTGCAGCATTTATGGGAGGCAGAATAGATTATGAGTTCGTACCTGCTGTGACAGAAGCTTCTAAACCAACAGCAGATTTGGGTATCATCTGGATGAGTTGCAGACGTGCCAGCCTGCTGTTTTAGTGCTACAAGCAAGGGGTTAACACTTAAACAAGGAGTCTTCGGATTAACACCTATTACTGCAGTATAAATAGAAAGTTTTGTCATTGCTTT